AGTGGGGTTGGGGTGGGACAGGGAGGTGACAAATGACTCAGGGGTGACCCAGGTGACACAAATGACCCCCAGGTGACACAAATGACCCCCAGGTGACCCAGGGAGGTGACAAATGACCCAGGGAGGTGACAAATGACCCACCTTGCTGGGGAGGGACCTCTGGCTGGAGCGAGGTTGGGGTGGCACAGACAGGTTTGGGGTGACAGGGGTGGGACAGGGAGGGGACAGGTGACCCAGGGAGGTGACAAATGACCCAGGGAGGTGACAAATGACCCACCTTGTTGGGGAGGGACCTCTTGACAGGTAACACAGGGGGAGGTTTGGGGGTGACAGGGTGGGGTTGGGGTGACACAAATGACCCAAGGGTGACACAAATGACCCAGGGAGGTGACAAATGACACAAATGACCCCCAGGTGACCCAGGGGTGACACAAATGACACAAGGAGGGGACAAATGACACAAATGACCCCCAGGTGACCCAGGGAGGTGACAAATGACCCACCTTGTTGGGGAGGGACCTCTGGCTGGAGCGGGGTTGGGGTGGCACAGATGGGACAGGGGTGACACAAATGACCCAGGGGTGACACAGGTGACAGAGGGAGGTGACAAATGACACAAATGACCCCCAGGTGACCCAGGGAGGTGACAAATGACCCAGGGAGGTGACAAATGACCCAGGGGGTGACAAATGACCCACCTTGTTGGGGAGGGACCTCTGGCTGGAGCGGGGTTGGGGTGGCACAGATGGGACAGGGGTGGGTTTGGGGTGACACAAATGACCCAGGGGTGACACAGGTGACACAAATGACCCAGGAGGGTGACAAATGACACAAATGACACCCCAGGTGACCCAGGGAGGTGACAAATGACCCACCTTGTTGGGGAGGGACCTCTTGACAGGTGACACAGGGGGAGGTTTGGGGGTGACAGGGGTGGGACAGGGAGGTGACAAATGACACAGGGGGGACACAGATGACCCCCAGGTGACACAAATGACACAAGGAGGTGACAAATGACACAAATGACACACAGGTGACCCAGGGAAGTGACAAATGACACAGGGGGGTGACAAATGACCCACCTTGTTGGGGAGGGACCTCTGGCTGGAGCGGGGTTGGGGTGGCACAGATGGGACAGAGGTGGGTTTGGGGTGACACAAATGACACAGGGGGGACACAGGTGACACAAATGACCCCCAGGTGACACAAATGACACTCAGGTGACACAGGGAGGTGACAAATGACCCACCTTGTTGGGGAGGGACCTCTTGGTGGAGCCACGAGGGAAGGTTTGAGGATGACACGGGTGGGGTTGGGGTGACACAAATGACCCAGGGGGGACACAAATGACCCAGGGAGGTGACAAATGACACAAATGACACTCAGGTGACCCGGGGGGGTGACAAATGACCCACCTTGTTGGTGAGGGACCTCTGGCTGGAGCGGGGTTGGGGTGGCACAGGGAGGTCAAGGTGGGTTTGGGGTGACACAAATGACACAGGGGGGACACAGGTGACAGAGGGAGGTGACAGGTGACACAAATGACATCCAGGTGACCCAGGGGGGTGACAAATGACCCACCTTGTTGGGGAGGGACCTCTGGCTGGAGCGGGGTTGGGGTGGGACAGGGAGGTGACAAATGACTCAGGGGTGACACAAATGACCCAGGGGGGACACAAATGACACAGGGGGGTGACAAATGACACAAATGACCCCCAGGTGACCCAGGGGGGTGACAGGTGACCCACCTTGTTGGGGAGGAACCTCTGGCTGGAGCAGGGTTGGGGTGGCACAGACAGGTTTGGGGTGACAGGGGTGGGACAGGGAGGTGACAAATGACTCAGGGGTGACACAAATGACCCAGGGAGGTGACAAACGACACAAATGACCCCCAGGTGACCCAGGGGGGTGACAGGTGACCCACCTTGTTGGTGAGGTACCTCTTGACAGGTGACATAGGGGGAGGTTTGGGGGTGATGGGGGAAGTTTGGGGTGACACAAATGACACAGGGGGGACACAAATGACACAGGGAGGTGACAGGTGACACAAATGACCCCCAGGTGACCCAGGGGGGTGACAAATGACCCACCTTGTTGGTGAGGTACCTCTTGCTGGCCACGGCCGGCAGCCTCAGCACCCTCTCCAGCGCCTCCCGCACCGACAGCCCCGTGGGGAGGCTCAGGGGGCGCAGGGGGGGACGGGACTGGCTCAGGTGGAACTCCTGGGGGGGGGAAATAACAAATTTGGGGGTCCCAAAATTAGGGGAGTCGATTTGGGGTCCCCAAAAATAGGGAGGTCCCCTAAAATTCAGGGGTCCCAATTTGAGGTCCCAATTCAGGAGGGAAAATGAGGGGGTCCCAATTTGGGAGGGGATTGGGAGAGGTGGAACTCCTGGGGGTAAATTTGGGGGTCAGGGGGTCCTAAAATTAAGGGGGGTCCCTAAATTAGAGGGGGTCCCAAAAATTAGGAGAGGGTCCCCAAAAATAGGGGGTAAAATTTGGGTCCCCAAAATGGGGGTCCTAATTAAAGGGTCCCCATTTTGGGGCTTTCCTCCCCCTCATTCTCCCCTCCTCAATTGGGGAGTCCCTTTGGCCCCTCCTCCCACCCCAGGGGTCCCCAGCCCCTCCCCTCACCTTTGGGGTCATTTTGACCCCTCCCCCATTGGGGGTCCTTGATCACTCCCGAGGGTCCTACCCAGCCCCTCCCCTTTTGGGGGTCCCTTGACCCTCCCCCTTTTGGGAGGTCCTTTGACTCCTCCCCTTTTGGGGGTCCCTTGCCCCTCCCCAAACTGGGGTCCCACCCAGCCCTCCCCCTCCCTTGGGGTCCCTCCCCACCTTTGGGGGTCCCTTGACCCCTCCCCACACCCCGGGCATCCCACCCAGCCCCTCCCCATCCTTGGGGTCCCCCAGCCCCTCCCCCTCACCTTTTGGGGTCATTTTGACCCCTCCCCCATCTTTTAGGGGTCCTTTGACCCCAGGGGTCCCCCCAGCCCCTCCCTCCATCCTTGGGGTCCCACCCAGCCCCTCCCCTCATCATCTTTTGGGGTCCTTTAGACCCCTCCCCCCTTTTAGGGGTCCTTTGACCCGGGGTCCCCCAGCCCCTCCCCCACCCTTGAGGTCCTCCCCCCTTTATAGGGGGTCCCTTTGACCTCGGGGTCCCCCAGCCCCTCCCCATCCCAGGGTCACCCCAGCCCCTCCCCTCCTCACATTTTGGGGTCATTTTGACCCTCCCTCACCCTTTAGGGGGTCCCTTTGGCCCCGGGGTCCCACCCAGCCCCTCCCCTCAAGGGGTCCCTCCCCCGGGTCTCCCCAGCCCCTCCCCTTTAGGAGTCCCTTTGACCCCGGGGTCCCACCAGCCCCCTCCCCACCCTTGGGGTCCCTCCCCACCCCGGGAGTCCCACCCAGCCCCTCCCCCTCACCTTTTGGGGTCATTTAGACCCTCCCCCACCTCCTTTAGAGGGTCCCTTGACCCTCCCCCCAAACTGGGGGTCCCTTGACCTCTTCCCCTCCCTTGGGGTTCCCCCCTCCCCCGGGGTCCCCCCAGCCCCTCCCCGTAGGGTCCCCCAGCCCCTCCCCTCACCTTTGGGGCATCTTGCCCAGCACCCACTCGAGGTCGAGGTTGACGGGGGTCGGGAGCCCCTCGTGGGACCCCCCCGGGGGCACCGGGGCCGACAGGTCGTCCACCAGCACGATCTGGGGGGGAGGGGGGAAAAAGGGGGTTAAACCACCCCAAAATGACCCCAAAATGATCCCAAAATCACCTCAAAATGACTCCAAACTGACCATAAAAATGAGCCTAAAAAAACAACCCAAAATGACCCCAAAATAACCCAAAATGACCCCAAAATGACCCCAAACCCACCCTTGGGACTCCAAAAATGACCCCAAAATAAACAGCACAAAGTGACCCCAAAGTGACCCCAAAACAACCCAAAGTGACCCCAAAAGAACCCAAAACAACCCAAAGTGACCCCAAACTGACCATAAAAATGAGCCTAAAAAACCAACCCAAAATAACCCAAAAATGGCCCCAAAATAGCCCAAAGTGACTCCAAAACATCCACCAGCACGATCTGGGGGGGGGAAAAGGGGGTCAAACCACCCCAAAATGACCCCAAAAAATGATCCCAAAATCACCCCAAACTGACCATAAAAATGAGCCGAAAAAACAAACCCAAAATGACCCAAAATGACCCCAAAAGAACCCAAAATGACCCCAATCTGACCATAAAAATATACCTAAAAAACCAACCCAAAATGACACAAAAATGGCCCCAAAATAACCCAAAGTGACCCCAAAATGAGCCCCAAATGACCCCAAAGTGACCATAAAAATGAGCCTAAAAAAACAACCCAAAGTGACCCCAAAACTGACCTAAAAAAACAACCCAAAGTGACCCCAAAATGAGCCCAAAATGACCCCAAACTGACTATAAAAATGAACCAAAAAAACAACCCAAAGTGACCCCAAAAATGACCCCAAAACAACCCAAAATGACCCCAAAGTGACCCCAAACTGACCATAAAAATGACCCTAAAAAGACAACCCAAAATGACCCCAAAAATGGCCCCAAAAGAACCCAAAATGACCCCAAAACGACCCCAAACTGACCATAAAAATGAACCTAAAAAAATAACCCAAAATGACCCCAAAATAACCCAAAACGACCCCAAAATGACCCCAAAACTGGTCCCTAAACAACACAAAGTGACCCCAAAACAACCCAAAGTGACCCCAAAACATCCACCAGCACGATCTGGGGGGGAAAAAAGGGGGTCAAACCACCCCAAAATGACCCAAAACAACCCCAAAATCACCCCAAAGTGACCATAAAAATGAGCCTAAAAAACAACCCAAAATAACCCAAAAATGGCACCAAAATAACCCAAAGTGACCCCAAACCCACCCTTGGGACTCCAAAAATGACCCCAAAATAAACAGCACAAAGTGACCCCAAAGTGGCCCCAAAAGAACCCAAAATGACCCCAAACTGACCATAAAAATGAGCCTAAAAAAACAACCCAAACTGACCCCAAAATGGCCCCAAAACAACCCAAAGTGACTCCAAAAAAACCCAAAATGACCCAAAAATCACGCCAAAAATGACCCCAAACTGACCATAAAAATGAGTCGAAAAAACAAACCCAAAATGACCCAAAATGACCCCAAAAGAACCCAAAATGACCCCAAACTGACCATAAAAATGAACCTAAAAAAAACAACCCAAAATAACCCAAAAATGGCCCCAAAATAACCCAAAGTGACCCCAAAATGAGCCCCAAATGACCCCAAAGTGACCATAAAAATGAGCCTAAAAAAACAACCCAAAGTGACCCCAAAACTGACCCCAAAACAACCCAAAGTGACCCCAAAATGAGCCCAAAATGACCCCAAACTGACTATAAAAATGAGCCTTAAAAAACAACCCAAAATGACCCCAAAATGACCCAAAAACGACCCCAAAATCACCCCAAACTGACCATAAAAATAAGCCTAAAAAAACAACCCAAAATAACCCAAAAGTGGCCCCAAAAGAACCCAAAATCACCCCAAACTGACCATAAAAATGAACCGAAAAAAACAACCCAAAATGACCCCAAAATAACCCAAAACAATCCCAAAAATGACCCCAAAATGACCCCAAACTGACCATAAAAATGAGCCTAAAAAAACAACCCAAAATGACCCCAAAACTGACCCCAAAACAACCCAAAGTGACCCCAAAATGAGCCCAAACTGACCATAAAAATGAGCCTAAAAAAACAACCCAAAATGACCCCAAAAATGGCCCCAAAAGAACCCAAAATGACCCCAAAACGACCCCAAACTGACCATAAAAATGAACCTAAAAAAATAACCCAAAATGACCCCAAAATAACCCAAAACAATCCCAAAAACGACCCCAAAATGACCCCAAAACTGGTCCCTAAACAACACAAAGTGACCCCAAAACAACCCAAAGTGACCCCAAAACATCCACCAGCACGATCTGGGGGGGAAAAAAGGGGGTCAAACCACCCCAAAATGACCCAAAACAACCCCAAAATCACCCCAAAGTGACCATAAAAATGAGCCTAAAAAACAACCCAAAATAACCCAAAAATGGCACCAAAATAACCCAAAGTGACCCCAAACCCACCCTTGGGACTCCAAAAATGACCCCAAAATAAACAGCACAAAGTGACCCCAAAGTGGCCCCAAAAGAACCCAAAATGACCCCAAACTGACCATAAAAATGAGCCTAAAAAAACAACCCAAAATGACCCCAAAATGACCCCAAATGACCCAAAATGACCCCAAAAGAACCCAAAATGACCCCAAACCGACCGTAAAAATGAGCCGAAAAAACAACCCAAAATAACCCAAAAATGGCCCCAAAAGAACCCAAAGTGACCCCAAAATCACCCCAAAATGACCATAGAAATGAGCCTAAAAAACAACCCAAACTGACCCAAAAATGGCCCCAAAATAGCCCAAAATGACTCCAAAAGAACCCAAACTGACCCCAAAACATCCACCAGCACGATCTGGGGGGGGAAAAGGGGGTTAAACCACCCCAAAATAACCCAAAACGACCCCAAAATCACCCCAAAGTGACCATAAAAATGAGCCTAAAAAACAACCCAAAATGACCCCAAAGTGACCCAAAACGACCCCAAAATCACCCCAAACTGACCATAAAAATGAGCCGAAAAAACAACCCAAAATGACCCAAAAATGACCCCAAAAGAACCCAAACTGACCCTAAAATGACCCAAAATGACCCCAAACTGACCATAACAATGAGCCTAAAAAACAACCCAAAATGACCCAAAAATGACCCCAAAATAGCCCAAAGTGACCCCAAGACATCCACCAGCACGATCTGGGGGGGGAAAAAGGGGGTTAAACCACCCCAAAATGACCCAAAACGACCCCAAAATCACCCCAAACTGACCATAAAAATGAACCTAAAAAAAAAACCCAAAATAACCCAAAAATGGCCCCAAAATAACCCAAAATTACCCCAAAACGACCCCAAAATCACCCCAAAGTGACCATAAAAATGAGCCGAAAAAACAACCCAAAATGACCCCAAAATGACCCAAAACGACCCCAAAATGGCCCAAAACAACCCCCAAAATGACCCCAAAATCACCCCAAACTGACCATAGAAATGAGCCGAAAAAACAACCCAAAATAACCCAAACTGACCCCAAAATAGCCCAAAATGACCCCAAAAGAACCCAAACTGACCCCAAAACTTCCACCAGCACGATCTGGGGGGGAAGGGGGAGAAAAAGGGGGGTGAGACCCCCAAAAATGACCCCAAAGTGACCCCAATGACCCCAATGATGACCCCAATGACCCCAATGATGATCCCAATGACCCCAATGATGACCCCAATAATGATCCCAATGACCCAAATGACCCCAATGATGATCCCAATGATGATCCCAATGACCCCAATGATGATCCCAATGACCCCAATAATGACCCCAATGGCCCCAAGACCATTCCAAAGACACCAATGATGATCCCAATGACCCCAATGATGATCCCAATAATGATCCCAATGACCCAAATGACCCCAATGATGATCCCAATGATGATCCCAATGACCCCAATGATGATCCCAATGACCCCAATAATGATCCCAATGACCCCAATGACCCCAATGATGACCCCAATGACCCCAATGACCCCAAAGACACCAATGATGATCCCAATGACCCCAATGATGATCCCGATGATCCCAATGATGATCCCAATGACCCCAATGATGACCCCAAAGATGATCCCAATGACCCCAATGATGACCCCAATGACCCCAATGATGATCCCAATGACCCCAATAATGATCCCAATGACCCAAATGACCCCAATGATGATCCCAATGATGATCCCAATGATGATCCCAATGATGATCCCAATGACCCCAATGATGACCCCAATGACCCCAATGATGATCCCAATGATCCCAATGATGACCCCAATGACCCCAATGATGATCCCAATGACCCCAATGATGATCCCAATGACCCCAATGATGACCCCAATGACCCCAATGAAGACACCAATGATGATCCCAATGACCCCAATGATGATCCCAATGACCCCAATGATGTCCCATTGACCCCAATGATGATCCCAATGATCCCAATGACCCCAATAATGATCACAATGACCCCAATGATGATCCCAATGATCCCAATGACCCCAATGATGATCCCAATGACCATCCCAATGATCCCAATGACCCCAATGATGATCCCAATGACCCCAATGATGATCCCAATGACCCCAATAATGATCCCAATGACCCCAATGATGATCCCAATGACCCCAATGATGATCCCATTGACCTAATGATCCCTAATGACCCCAATGACCCCAATGATGACCCCAATGACCCCAATGATGATCCCAATGACCCCAATGATGATCCCAATGACCCCAATGACCCCAATGATGATCCCAATGACCCCAATAATGATCCCAATGACCCCAATGATGATCCTAATGACCCCAATAATGACCCCAATGACCCCAATGACCCCAATGATGATCCCAATGACCCCAATAATGATCCCATTGACCCCAATGATGACCCCAATGATGATCCCAATGACCCCAATGATGATCCCAATGACCCCAATGATGACCCCAATGACCCCAATGACCCCAATAATAATCCCAATGATCCCAATGTCAATCCCAATGACCCCAATGATGACCCCAATGACCCCAATGACCCCAATAATAATCCCAATGATCCCAATGTCAATCCCAATGACCCCAATGATGATCCCAATGACCCCAATGATGATCCCAATGACCCCAATGACCATCCCAATGACCCCAATGATGACCCCAATGTCAATCCCAACAATCCCAATGACCCCAATGACCCCAATAACAATTCCAATGACCCCAATGAGGTCCCCAATGACCCCAATGACGACCCCCAATGACCCCAATGACCATCCCAACAATCCCAATGATCCCAATGACCCCAATAATGATCCCAATGATGATCCCAATAACCCCAGTGATCACCCCAATTATGATCCCAGTGACCCCAATGATGATCCCAATGACCCCAATGATGACCCCAATGACCCTAATGACTCTCAATGATGATCCCAATGACCCCAATGACCCCCAATGACCCCAATGATGATCCCAATGACCCCAATGAGCATCCCAATGACCCCAATGATGATCCCAATGACCCCAATGATGACCCCAATGATGATCCCAATGACCCCAATGATGATCCCAATGATCCCAATGACCCCAATGACCATCCCAATGACCCCAATGACCCCAATGATGATCCCAATGACCCCAATGATGATCCCAACAATCCCAATGACCCCAATGATCCCAATGACCCCAATGATGACCCCAATGACCCCAATGAGACCCCAGTGTCACCTTCCCATCTCCGGTGATGGTCCCCACCACGCCGAGGGGACACCGTTCCCATGTCCCCAATGATGATCCCATTGACCCCAATGATGATTCCAATGATCCCAATGACCCCAATGACCCCAAAGACCCCAATGACCCCAGTGTCACCTTCCCATCGCCGGTGATGGTCCCCACCACGCTGAGGGGACACCGTTCCCATGTCCCCAATGATCCCATTGACCCCAATGATGATCCCAATGACCCCAATGATGATCCCAATGACCCCAATGATCCCATTGACCCCAATGATGATCCCAATGACCCCAATAATGATCCCATTGACCCCAATGACCATCCCAATAATGACCCCAATGACCCCAATGACCTCAGTGATGTCCCAATCACCCCAATGTCAATCCCAATGACCCCAATGACCATCCCAATGATGACCCCAATGATGACCCCAATGATGATCCCAATGACCCCAATAATGATCCCAACAATCCCAATGATGATCCCATTGATCCCAATGACCCCAATGATGACCCCAATGACCCCAATGATCCCAATGACCCCAATGATGACCCCAATGACCCCAATGATGACCCCAATGATCCCAATGACCCCAATGATGACCCCAATGACCCCAATGATGACCCCAATAATGACCCCAATGACCCCAATAATGATCCCATTGACCCCAATGATGATCCCAATGACCCCAATGATGATCCCATTGACCCCAATGATGATCCCAATGACCCCAATGACCCCAATGATGATCCCAATGACCCCAATGATGACCCCAATGACCATCCCAATGACCCCAATGACCCCAATGATGATCCCAATGACCCCAATGATCCCAATGATCCCAATGATGATCCCAATGATGATCCCAATGACCCCAATGACCCCAATGATGATCCCAATGACCCCAATGACCCCAATGATGATCCCATTGACCCCAATGATGATCCCAATGACCCCAATGACCCCAATGACCCCAATGATGATCCCAATGACCCCAATGATGATCCCAATGACCCCAATGACCCCAATAATCCCATTGACCCCAATGATCCCATTGACCCCAATGATGATCCCAATGACCCCAATGATGACCCCAATGACCCCAATAATGATCCCATTGACCCCAATGACCCCAAAGACCCCAATGATGACCCCAAAGACCCAATGACCCCAGTGTCACCTTCCCATCTCCGGTGATGGTCCCCACCACGCTGAGGGGGCACCGTTCCCGCTCCGAGAGGCGCCGCAGCAGCTCCAGCCCCGCCGGCCGCACCAGCAGCGCGTTGGACTCCTGGTACTCGGCCCCCCAGATCTCCAGCACGCTCAGGGTGGGGTCACCCAGCTGCCACCAAGGGGTCACCAGGGTCACCCAGGGTGTCACCAGGGTCACCAAGGTGTCACCCAGGGTGTCACCAGGGCCACCAAGGGGTCACCAGGGTGTCACCAGGGCCACCAGGGTCACCAAGGTCACCCAGGGTGTCACCAGGGCCACCAGGGCCACTGGGACACCCAGGGGTACAGGGGACACCCAAAAATTTGGGACACTGGGGACATTGGGGACACCCAAGGGACACCTAGGGAGACTGGGAGTGGACAGGGGACACTTGGGGGGACATTTGGGGACACTGGGGGGGACATTGGGGACATTGGGAGAGGACAGGGGACATTTGGGGACACTTGGGGACAATGGGGGGGACATTGAGGACACGGGGACATTTGGGGACACTGGGAGAGGACAGGGGACACCAGGGAACACTTGGGGACACTGGGGGGGACATTGGGGACATTGGGAGGGGACAGGGGACAGCAGGGGACAGTTGGGGACATTGGAGACATTTGGGGACACCCAAGGGACACTCGGCCAACCCCCCCCCCCAGATCTCCAGCAGGCTCAGGGTGGGGTCACCCAGCTGCCACCAAGGGGTCACCAGGGTCACCAGGGTCACCCAGGGTGTCACCAGGGTCACCAAGGTCACCCACGGTGTCACCAAGGGGTCACCAAGGTGTCACCAGGGCCACCAGGGCATTGGGGACATTGGGGACATTTGGGGACATTGAGGAGATTGGGGGGACATTGGGGGGGGACAGGGGACACTGGGAGGGGACAGGGGACAATTGGGGACATTGGGGACACTGGGAGGGGACAGGGGACAATTGGGGACATTGGGGACACTGGGAGGGGACAGGGAACACTTGGGGGGACATTTGGGACATTGGGGGGACATTGGGGGACACAGAGGACAGTTGGGGACACTGGAAGGGGACAGGGGACACCAGGGGACACCAGGGGACATTGGGGGGGACACTGGGGACACTGGGAGTGGACAGGGGACATTTGGGGACAGTTGAGGACATTGGGGGGATTGGGGACATTGGGGGGACATTGGGGGGACATTGGGGGGTTGGGGACATTGGGGGGACATTGAGGACATCCAAGGGACACTCGGCCAACCCCCCCCCCAGATCTCCAGCACGCTCAGGGTGGGGTCACCCAGCTGCCACCAAGGGGTCACCGGGGTCACCAGGGTCACCCAGGGTGTCACCAGGGCCACCAAGGTCACCCAGGGTGTCACCAGGGCCACCAAGGTCACCCAGGGTGTCACCAGGGCCACCAAGGGGTCACCAGGGTCACCAGGGTCACCCAGGGTGTCACCAGGGATACCCAGGGTGTCACCAGGGCCACCAGGGCCACTGGGACACCCAAAAATTGGGGTACAAGGGACATGGAGGGGACATTGAGGACATCTGGGGACATTGAGGAGATTGGGGGGACATTGGGGACACAGAGGACAGTTGGGGACACTGAGAGAGGACAGGGGACACTGGGGGACACTGGGGACACTGGGGGACATTTGGGGACACTGGGAGGGGTCAGGGGACACCAGGGGACAATTGGGGACAGTTGGGGACACTGGGAGTGGACAGGGGACACTGGGGGACATTTGGGGACACTGGGAGGGGTCAGGGGACACCAGGGGACAGTTGGGGACATTGGGGACATTGGGGGGACATTGGGGGACATTGGGGGACGTTGGGGACATTGGGGGGACATTGGGGGGACATTGAGGGACACAGAGGGCAGTTGGGGACACTGAGAGGGGTCAGGGGACACTTGGGGACATTGGGGACACTGGGGGACACTGGGGGACATTTGGGGACACTGAGAGGGGTCAGGGGACACCAGGGGACATTGGAAGGACATTGGGGACATTGGGGGAGATCTGGGGAGTTTTGGGGACATTGGGGAGATTGGGGACATTGGGGGACATTGGGGGACATTGGGGGACATTGGGGACATTGGGGGATTGGGGACACATTTGGGACATTGGGGGACATTGGGGACATTGGGGGGATTGGGGACACATTTGGGACATTGGGGACATTGGGGACATTGGGGGGACATTGGGGATTGGGGACACATTTGGGACATTGGGGGGACATTGGGGGACACTGGGGGACATTGGGGACATTGGGGGGACATTGGGGAGATCTGGGGAGTTTTGGGGACAGTTGGGGACATTGGGGGGACATTGGGGACACACCTGGAAGCGGCTGGCGTAGATGGCGGCACCGGCGGGTTCGCTCAGCTCCTTCAGGACGTTGCCTGGGGGGAGGGGACAGTTTGGGGACAGTTGGGAGTGTCCCCAACGTCCCCAATGTCCCCAATCCCCAATGTCCCCAATGACCCCAATGTCCCCAATCCCCCAATGTCCCCAATGACCCCCAATGTCCCCAATGGTGTCCCCAGATGTCCCCAGATGTCCCCAATGTCCCCAAAGCCCCCCCAATCACCCCAAAGACCCCAATGGTGTCCCCAATGACCTCAAATGACCCCAGGGATGTCCCCAAATGTCCCCTGACCGTTCCCTCCTGCCCCCTGGTCGTGGATGCTGCTGATGGGGTTGCTGTCCCCACAATGACCCCAAACCCCCCCAATGACCCCAAATGACCCCAGGGATGTCCCCAAATGTCCCCTGACCGTTCCCCCAGCCCCCTGGTCGTGGATGCTGCTGATGGGGTTGCTGTCCCCACAATGACCCCAAACCCCTCCCAATGACCCCAAACCCCTCCCAATGACCCCAGGGATGTCCCCAATGACCCCAGAGATGTCCCCTAAAGCCCCCAATGACCCCAAATGACCCCAAAGCCACCCCAAATGTCCCCAAATGTCCCCTGACCATTTCCCCCTGCCCCCTGGTCGTGGATGCTGCTGATGGGGTTGCTGTCCCCACAATGACCCCAGGGATGTCCCCAATGACCCCAAACCCCTCCCAATGACCCCAAATGACCCCATTGATGTCCCCAAATGTCCCCAAATGTCCCCAAATGCCCCCTGACCGTTCCCCCCTGCCCCCTGGTCGTGGATGCTGCTGATGGGGTTACTGTCCCCACAATGACCCCAAATCCCCCCCAATGACCCCAGGGATGTCCCCAAACCCCCCAAATGACCCCAGGGATGTCCCCAAATGCCCCCTGACCATTTCCCCCTGCCCCCTGGTCGTGGATGCTGCTGATGGGGTTGCTGTCCCCACAATGACCCCAAATGTCCCCAATGACCCCAATGACCCCAATGATGTCCCCAAGCCCTCAGTGATGTCCCCAAATGTCCCCTGACCATTTCCCCCAGCCCCTTGGTCGTGGATGCTGCTGATGGGGTTGCTGTCCCCACAATGACCCCAAACCCCTCCCAATGACCCCAAACCCCTCCCAATGACCCCAAATGACCCCAGGGATGTCCCCAAGCCCCAGATGATGTCCCCTGACCGTTCCCTCCTGCCCCCTGGTCGTGGATGCTGCTGATGGGGTTGCTGTCCCCACAATGACCCCAAACCCCTCCCAATGACCCCAAACCCTCCCAATGACCCCAAATGACCCCAGGGATGTCCCCAAGCCCCAGATGATGTCCCCTGACCGTTTCCCCCTGCCCCCTGGTCGTGGATGCTGCTGATGGGGTTGCTGTCCCCACAATGACCCCAGGGATGTCCCCAATGACCCCAGGGATGTCCCCAAATGTCCCCTAACCATTTCCCCCTGCCCCCTGGTCGTGGATGCTGCTGATGGGGTTCCCGTCCCCGCTCTCGATGCAGCCCCGCAGGACCCGGTTCAGTTTCTGCTCCATCTCGGGGTCCCCCCTCTGAACGGCCCCCAAATCCCGCTCGGCCTCGTTGTCCCCCTGCACCTGCAGGAGAAAAAGACCCCAAAATGCTGGAAATTCGCCCCAAAAATGCCACCAAAACACCCAAGAAACTACGGCAAAAACGGCCCAAAAATATCATCAAAAACCACCAAAAAGCGACAAAAATGTCCCAAAAATACCACCAAAAACTTCAGAAAATCACCCCAAAAATACCACCAAAAACGCTCCAAAAATCCCAGCAAAACCCCCAAAAAATCTATGACAAAAATGCCCCGAAAATCCCACCAAAAAAACAAGAAAATCGCTCCAAAAATACCACCAAAAACTCCACCAAAACCCTCAGAAAATCACCCCAAAAATCAGCCCAAAAACACCACCAAAACCCTCAGAAAATCACCCCAAAAATCCCATCAAAAACCCCAGAAAATCACCCCAAAAATGCCCCAAAAACCCACCAAAACCCCCAGAAAATCACCCCAAAAATCAGCCCCAAAACACCCCCAAAACTTCAGAAAATCATCCCAGAAATACCACCAAAAACTTCAAAAAATCACCCCAAAAATGCCCCAAGAATACCACCAAAAAACTCAGAAAATCATCCCAAAAACCAGCTCAAAAACAGTTCAAAAATACCCCAAAAATGTCCCCAAAATCCCAGCAAAACCCACAAAAAACTGTGACAAAAATGCCCCCAAAATACCAACAAAAACCTCAGAAAATCACCCCAAAAATAACACCAAAAACTCCACCAAAAACCCCAGAAAATCACCCCAAAAATAACACCAAAAACTCCAAAACTCTCAGAAAATCACCCCAAAACCACCCTAAAAATCCCACAAAATCACCCCAAAAATCAGCCCAAAACCACCCCAAAAATCCTCCCAAATCCCACCCTGGACCCACAAAATCCCCTCAAATTCCCCCAAATATCCCCTAAGACCCCCAAATCCCCCCCAGGACCCCCCAAATCCCCCCAAAATCCCCCAATTTTAAACCCAGAGAGCCCCCAGACCCCCAAAATCCCCC